AGCCCTTGTGGCTAGAGCCCATGCTCAACAACAAGAGAAGCCTTCGCAATGAGAAGCCCGCGCACCACAATGCAGAGTAGCCCCCCCTCTCGGCAACTAGAGAAAGCCCACGCGCAGCAACGGAGACCCAATGCAGCCAAAAATAAGTAAATTATATAAATAAATTTTTTTAAAAATAGCAAGAAAAAAAGTGCAAGGTAGTATAATCAGGAGAAACGATTGTATTTCAATTCAGTAAATAATCTTTGAGCACCTTCCAGGAGCAGTGAGCATTCTAAGGGCTCGGCCCAGTAGGGGACACAGTCACTAAGGCCTCACATGTACATGACGTTTTCTAGTTGATAAAATACTTGTAAAATGTACTGACAGTTGCACCTCCTGATAGCCTCAGAGGTAGATATTTTCATGTTTTACAGGAATAAGGAAACTGGAGACTCAGAATAAGTGACTTGTCCAAGGTCATGCCACCAATAAGTAGAGAAGCCAGGTCTTAGACCTGAGTTATCCGGTGACAAATTCAGGACATTTAGCAGAGGACCACGTTGCTTCTCTAGACTAAGGTGAATTGTGTTCAAACTGCGTGCTAGGAGCGTAGGGAAGGAGTTCACGTAATGGAAAGACGCTGCTATCCAAAGGAAGGGAAACCACAATCTAAAAATGCAGAAATCTTCTGTGTGAAAGATTTTTGGAACAACATTGGACATATTAGTGAAATTTTGAAGGCATCCAAATGTTCTACAGATGGGAAATAGTTGAAATCAGTTTAGGTATAACAGTTCAGGCAAGTCACTTCCACTTACTGGGCTTCAGTTTTCTAATCTGTAAAATGAAGGAATTGGATTAGTTTATTTCCCCAGATAACTATCTTTCCGTGTTCATTCAATTGTTACCAGCTCAGTGAGACCTCCCTTGACTGTCTTAAAATTGCAGTATCCCACAACATGCTGCCCTTGCTCTCAATATTTTTTTCTTAACATTTATTTGATCCCTCAATAGGATGTCAGCTCCATGAAGGTAGAGGCTTTTGTCTCATTAACAGTTGTATTGATTTTTATGACATTGGAATAACTGTGTTCTCTAAAGATACTATAGACTTTGTGAATACATGGAAATGGTTGGAAAAAAGCAGGGAAAAAAACATTTATACTTGGTGATTACAACCGTAAAAGGTTAAAGAGAAAATGATGTAAATAGTTCAGGGAATTGTGTTCTGTAAGGTTTTCTTGTATGTATGTAGTATTTGCATTTAATAATTTAAAATGAAATCCTGAGGTTATTTTAATATACAAGGGGTTTTCGTTTGTTTGTTTGTTTATTTAAGTTGACAATTTCCTGGGACTTCCCGATGGTCCAGTGGTTAAGATTCCTCGCTCCCAATGCAGGGGGCCTGGGTTCAGTCCCTGGTCAGGGAACTAGATCCCTCATGCCGCAACTGAAGATTCCATATGCTGCAATTGAAGATTCCACATGCTGCAATGAAGACCCGTACAGCCAAATAAATATTATTTTAAAAAAAAGAATATAGCATCGACTTAATATCCTGTTGGATTTATTAAAAAAAAAAAGTTGACAATTTCCAAACTTGGTTGGGAGTGGGAACTTTATACTTTCTGTTCCTTTCTTTCACAGCCGGGCGCCTCAGATGAGAACTGCACCCAGGCCAGCGCCCGCAGCTCAGCCACCAGCAGTGGCTCCACCATCTGCTGTTGGCTCACCTGCTGCTGCTCCTCGGCAGCCAGGTCTGATGGCCCAGATGGCAACCACTGCAGCCGGCGTGGCTGTGGGTTCTGCCGTCGGCCACACTCTGGGTCATGCCATCACTGGTGGCTTCAGTGGAGGAAGTAATGCTGAGCCCTCAAGGCCTGACATCACTTACCAGGTAAGATTTGGGGCAGCATTCTCTTCGGTGGTGTATTTATGAGAAAACCTAGTTAGTTGTAAGTGCCTTATGTATTGGGACTGTCTCCACCTGTGGAGAATGGTTTATCTATATTTGGCAGCAGTTGAGTTAGTACCTTACTTAGGCCAGCGTCAGAGAGTCCTGGACAAATGGTATTTCTTCTCAAGGAGTAGAATTGTGGCAGTTCGACCTGATGGACTGTCAAACAGCCACTTACCCCTTATTTTTAATATTTTTGGGGATTCCCGGGTGGTCCAGTGGTTAAGACTTGCCGCTTTCACTGTCGTGGGCCCAGGGTTCAATCCCTGGTTGGGGAACTAAGACCCCAGAAGCCGTGTGGCCTGGCATAAATAAATGAATGAGTGAATGAATGAATGAATATAAATATATACACATATACATATATATGTTTTGTTTGTCATGGTCACACTTAACTAATTCAGTCTCAATCTTCGTTAAGTGTTCAGAAATCTTTTTGATGGCTCTGTGCTCTCTCATCTCTTACCTGATATTTGCCACTGCCCTTCTTTCTGAGATACGTGAATTTTCTCCTCTAAGGAGCATGGGTGTATACTCTACTGTATTTCTGATGTACTTAAAACTCTCATCCATCTATTTTTCTGTAGTAGGCCCATTTTTTCCTCCATGAAACATCATTGAACCACTGGTCTTTAGATGCCCAGATAACCACTTAATTTGCATCTTTGTTCATGAATCTTTCTGATGACAACTGGGATTTCTGTTAAAGCTCATTTCTTTCTGCCTTTAATTTTTTTCACTGTCCACGTTATTAGATAGAAACTTTAATTTGCATCTGGTTCTAGTTCTGTTCCCCCAATTAACCTCAGAGAGTGGTTATTGCTCTTTGTTCGGGTATAAGTCTGATTTCCATTCATTCATTCATTCATTTATTTTTGGCTGCGTTGGGTCTTCGTTGCTGCGTTTGGGCTTTCTCTAGTTGCGGCGAGTGGGGGCTCCTCTTCACTGTGCGCAGGCTTTGGGAGGGGGCTGCCCTGCTGCTCATTACAGTGGCTTCTTGTTGCAGAGCACGGGCTCTAGGCACGCGGGCTCAGTAGTTGTGGCTCACGGGCCCTAGAGTGCAGGCTCAGTAGTTGTGGCTCACGGGCTTAGTTGCTCCGCAGCATGTGGGATCTTCCCGGACCCATTCCCAGGGCTCGAACCCATGTACCCTGCATTGGCAGGCAGATTCTTAACCGCTGCGCCACCAGGGAAGTCCCTGATTTCCTTTCTTAACAATCCTGAATGTTATGCCTTTGCAGGAGCCTCAGGGAACCCAGCTGGCACAGCAGCAGCAGAATGGCCCATGCCTTTTTGAGGTGAAACAGTTTTTGGAGTGTGCCCAGAACCAGGGTGACCTTAAGCTTTGTGAAGGTTTCAGTGAGGTGCTGAAACAGTGCAGACTGGCGAACGGTAGGTGATAGATACATCAATCCATGGTTGAACTTGCATCTGCTTAATTCACTGAATGGTACCCCTGGACCTTATAAAACTTAGGGAGTCTGTGTTTAATAAATTAAACTGACAAATTAGAGGAGATTTTGTTTAAATTACTCTAAAAATAATCTAACAAGGAGCTGGTCCAGAGTTTTCTAGTCATTATCTTGGGCTTTTACCTGCTTAAGGAAGAATCAGTTACGTTCTGAATCTGATTCTTTCTTAGGCGGGTATAGATTAGTGTGCTAAGATCTTATTGTGGTTATTGCATAGCCTTAGTGCTGATTTCACCAAAGTCCAGGAATGAGCACAAGATCTGATAGAGCATTGTCATTCTGCACACCTCGTTTGAGAGAGACAAGTTTATTAAATCCCTCGGTGGGACTTAGAGATTTAGGTTCTCTGGAATGTTGGCAGTCAACTTGTTGTTGTGTGATTTCCTCCTGTCAATCTAAGAGTTCACCACCTATTAAAAATGATTATTTTCATTTTCCCGCCTGCGTTTTTATTTATTTATTTATAGTTCTGCAGATTTTATTTAGAAACTTAGAAAGGGTTTTTGTGGATAAATCTATAGTTGATTCTCATGGAGTCACAGAGTATATTTAATATATACAGAGTCATTTTTCAGGCTTCTTATACTGAATTGGTCTAGGCCAGAGGTTGACCACCTATGGTCCCTTTACCAAAGCCATCCTGACACCTGTTTCTGTAAGTAATTTTATTGAAACAGCCATCTCCTATTCATTTAGGTGTTGTGTATGGCTGCTTTCCATGGCAAAGGAAGAGTTGAGCAGTTGTGACAGAGACTATATGGCCCACAAAGCGAAAAGTATTTACCTGATTGTTTACAGAAAAACGTTTTAAAACCCTGGTCTGGGCTAGTGGTTCTCAAAGTTCCCCACCTTCATTTATGTAGGAAATAGGGATAGGGGAGAAGTTAATCCTTATAGGTGGTCGAACTGTGGAATTAAGACATTGCATGGCCAAGTTTATCAGAAGTCTTTGATGAAACTATGTCTAATACCAAAGTAACTATATTTCTGCTTCAAAGTGTAGAGTTGAAGTTTTATTGGTTGCAGCCTTAAACAGCTTATGAAAGAAACTAATAACCTTGGGCTTCACCCCTGCTTTCATAATTTGGAGGACTTTGGTTTTGTTGAGAATATGTAGCTAGTGCTCTTCTAACAAGCCTTTTCTGTTTGCAGGGTTAGCTTAATCAAGAAGTTCCAGTTGAAGGCATGAAAAATCATCTCTCATGACCAGGTTGATTTAGCATTAAAAATATAATTGATAGTGAAGATATAAAGTGTGAAGCCACCAGTTAACCGCTCCTCAATCATTAGTAGCTTTTGTGCTTCAGGATTGCAGTGGAAGAGGGTATTCTCACCATATAGAAGCTCCCTGAGATGATATTGAGTTGGGGCTAGGCGGATGTTTGTGTGGCCTCTTAAACATGCTTTTGTTTGTGAATTAATTAGAATAAAGTGATTTTATTTCCAAATGTGTCTCAAGTATAAGGTTATAAATCACACGTGGTATACACATGCTGAACAGAATGCATTTTGCAGAAGAACACAGTTGTCTCTACATGTCTTTATGTGTATCTAGTCTGTAGTCTCTGGATATTAAAGTAGTGGCCGCCTGGGGGATCTGGCAGAGCTTCCTGAGGAGCTTTGGTAGAGAAATAGTTATGTAAGGAGTAGCTCCCTAGCAAGCGTGCTGCTCATTAAAAAGATTCCAGGTGCTACAGGCCTTTGGAGCCAATGTGCAGTAAACTGAGCAGTAATGAAACTAAAATACTAACTGTTGTGATCAGGTGAATGATACAGGAAATGTGGGAGCAGACCCATTACATGTGTGGGCTCCCTGTGGCCAGGTCAGCACTACACGTCATTGTTAACCTAGATTATCCAATTTATTGGTTGGAGATGAAAATTCATTCTCTTAATATAGGCAGTTTCCCTGCAGATGTTTTTATTCTACTTAAGGCATTGTAGCTTTCTCTTCCTGAAAGACTCAAGTTGCCCTCTCCAAGCTGTCTTAAGTCCATGTTGGACTCAATTTGGGGGGCATCATTTTTTTTTTTAAATGAACCCAGCTCCGTCCCTCACAAAGAGCTCAAAATTTCATTTACTTCTGGGAGTTGACCTCCAGTCTCCATTATGCTCTGCAGTTTTCCTACTTTCAAATATACCTTTCAGAGTTTCCATTATCTGATTTTTTTTTTTCCTCTCTGTTACTGCAAGGTAAGTGAAGTGCTGTTGAGTAAGTGAATTATTCAGTTGTTACCTCGTCCTCAGCGGTGTTCTTAGAGTGCTCCATTCTGTACCTAATCATTCACTTCCTGAAAGAGGCCAAGACTACCTTGCTCAAGGACCTAAAGGACCAGACAGTTCACTACTGGCCAGTCCCCCAGCATATTCCCTCCTGGGTTCATCATTGGGCTCTTGCCCATTTTCCTAAAGGCTCAGGACTTCTGAGTTCATAGTGTTAACGCCCCTTATGTCCAAGGCGTGATGCTCTATGGTGGGTACCAAAATATGGTTGAATCACTGAATCAAAGGAAAATGAACCACTGACAATAAAATGCAAGAGTCTGGCTGACCTGGCCTGCCTCTGGTGGGAGCCATGGCTACACAGAGAAGGTCACAGGGAATAATCCACCAGGTGTATTGGCCTTTTTGCCCTAAAGTCAGAAGGGATTTTTGTCATGTATTGAAAGTGTAAGCCAGCAGGCGTCTGCAGCTTAGAATCGGGGAAAAAGGCTTATTGACAGTAAGTAAAAGGAGAATTCAGTGTTTTCATCTTTGGAACCAGATGTTGCATCTCGATAAGCTGGAGGCCTTTAAGGATAGGGACAAAGTCATTTACCAACTCCTATAACAGTTCAGCAAAGTATTTCCCCAGAGTGGAAGAGATGGCGAGCGTGATACAATGGAAAGAGCACGTGAGCCTACATCGGAGGTTCACCTAGGCCCTCCTACTCACCTCATCGAGCAAGTCACGTTCTCTCTAAAGTTGGCTTAATACCAGAGTTTTGGGGGCCCAATGAGAGTGCATATGAAGTGCATTGTAAAATGCTCATTAAATGGGTTTTTGTGGGCTCAGCACCTGTATGAAGCAGTGTATTACCCCTTTCTTCGTTTGGTATATTAGAAGAACCAGGGGTTTGAAGAACAGGTAGCTTTAGAATGAGGGTGAGCATTTTAAAAGTGTCTGCTTGTGTGCCAGCATGTTGCATACATTATTTCCAGCTCTGTCAGCCTCTTAAGCTAGACTCACACCGATGAGGACCCTCACCCAAACAGCCTAAAGCCACACACGGTTAGAGCCCGTGTGCTTTTCCTGGCACATGGAACTCCTCTCATTCATTAGAAACTGCAGGCTGAAGTTAAGGATGAAATGGAGGCAGATCAGAGATGGAGTCTCCCTAGCCTTTGAGGTCTGCATTGGGTCAGGCAGCCACGCAAGCCGTAGCTGAGTGGGTCCCTGTAGCAGCCGGGGCTGCAGGGTGGGCACACCGGTGTGCTGGGGTGTCTCCAGGGCTCTGCTCTCAGCACACACAGGAATGGCTCCCAGAGAAGCCAGCGTGTTCCCAGCAAGCTGGCTTTATCTCCTCTAAGCCTGGAGGTTGAGTGAGCTCCACAGGGAAGATGGGTCACCTTGTGCTGTCCTGCCTGCTCCCAGGCCACCGGAGCTTCCCTCACCCTCCACCAGAGGTCACCCCTGCGGAGCCTTGGCCCCGACTCGTGCACTGTCACGCTGAGCCTTGGCCTGCACCCCAGCTTTGCAGCTGGGATTTATTTTTGGCACATCAGCCTTCCGTCCTCAAGTAGCAAAGCCTGAAGGAAGAGCAGCAAGATATCCTGTTCTGGCCACAAGCGTCGGCTCGGGACACGCTTCAGCCCTCTGTTGTCCCCTGTCCCCAGGGGGCTCCTGGACCTTTGGGATTCCTGTCACGTTCATTCCAGGGCCTGCGAGGACATAGAGGTGAGTAGCTGTGTGGGGAGCGGGAGAGGCTGTGGCGTAGGGAAGACAGAACCCCCCACACCCCTTAGACCCACCTCTCCCTGCTTCTGAAGGCACGTGGGCCCAGAAGCATGGCAGCACTGATTCTCTAAGTTTCAGGGAGGGATGTCATGTTCCAAAAAGGACCAGGCTACCTACTCCTGTTTGGGGACCCTTTCCAAAGGCATCTTCGGTAAGGCATGGGGAATGCAGGCAGGGGCAGTGGACAGAGGCGCGAAGTTGGCCCCAGGTTAGGCCTAGAGTAAGGGGATGAGGCAAGATAGACCTCCGCCACCCACCCCAGGAGAGGGAGTGCTGCTGGGGCTCAGTGGGGCCGGTTGTGCCAGGGAACGGGCCCCGACGGGACGGCATCCCGGGCTGGGTCCACATACACCGTCTGTGCAGGGAGGGCTGCAGGAAGGGAGAGACCTTTCCTTACCCAGCTTTGGGAGGTGGGGGGAGGAGGGGGAACAGATGCCCCTCGTGGGAACTTTAAACGGCTTACCAGGAATTGGGCTCGTTTTTATGGGGAACAGACACTCCAGTGCTCAGCTGGGGTTGCTGATGGGGGTGGAGCAGAGACAGCTCCAGAGCCTGCTGCTGGCAGAGGAGACTTGTTATTCTAATCCTTCCTCTGGGAACCAGGCACCCGGCAGTGGGGACACCAGCCTTCCTGGAACAGCCAGCCTGTCCTGAGGCAGCCAGGGCTGCTGCTTGGCTGGTCAGCAAATGGGCCTCTTTGACAGGCCAGACCTTCCTGGACCCAGAAAAGGCAGTGGAAATGGGACCAGAGGCATCTTTGGCCCTGCTGAGAGGCAGCTCGTGCCCATTTTCTATCTGCCCCTCTTCCTGTTGGTACAGCATTTTCTCCAGTCCTCAAATCCTCCGTGTGAGGTAGGAGTTCCGTACCCAGTGGCCTCTATGTTCCTGAAGCAAAGCCAGCCAGCTCCTCTGGGTCTAGGCCTGAGTGTCCTGGCTCCGTTCTGCCCCACACTGCAGCAGGACCACTCAGGGCTCATTGGCCATCGTTAGGTAGGACACAGGGCATTCTGAGGACATGGCCATCCTGCTGGCAGGAACCTGGACCAAAGGGACACCTCCAGCCATTATATCTACAGAGCAGCACCTGTGACACACCTGCACTGGGCACAGTGGGGAGGGATGGTTGGGATGATCTAGAGATGAAAGAACAAGTGATACCAGAGGCTGGGGCCAGGACTCACCCATCAAACTCTGCCTCCCTCAGAGCACCTGACACAGTGCTTCTCAGAGTATGAAAGGAAGAAAGGAAGGAGGGAAGGAGGGAGGGAGGACGGAAGGAAGGAAGGAAGGAAGGAAGGGTGAAGGAGGGACAGTGATCACAAAAACTAAGGGCAGAATGGGTGAGGAAGCAGCAATGGGAAGCACAGCAAGGCTGTCGCAGAAGGAGGGGTGTTTTCTGGGTAGGACAGTTACAAGTGGGGGAGATAAGGAGAGGTTATGGGAGCAGCATATTTGAAAATGAAACCATGAAGCTTCTCACCTTTTCCAGAAGTGCAGAGAGCAGGCCGAGGAAAAGCAGGACCAGCTGCGTCGGCCCAAAGAGGAAAAGAAAGAGGACTTTAATTTGTCCTTTGCAGAGTTTCTCGGTGGTGCTTTCTAAACTCAAGCGTGTGCTGGCCCTGTCAGAACTAACCTTGCAGCCTGGTGGTCCGATTCCTGCCTCGAGCCTGGGCTTGGGCCTGGCTGCCCATCTGTTGCTCCTACCAGGGAGCAACAACTAACAACGAGAACATGCCGGGAGCCACCTGGTCACCTGGGGTCACGGGAGCTTACAGCCAGTGGGGAGAAGCAAGTTGGGCTCTTTCCAAAGCTTTTTTAAAAATTCATAAATATTTATTTTGAATACTCACAAGAGGCCAGACCGATGCCAGGAAATACACAGACGAGGGAGAGGGACTTCCCTGGCGGTCCAGCGGTTAAGACTCCGCACTTCCAGTGCAGGGGGCACGGGTTCGATCCCTGGTTCTGCTGGGTGCTTGGTTACCAGAGGAAGGAACTAAGATCCCACATGCTGTGCAGTGCAGCCAAAAAAAAAAAAAAAAAGGGAGAAACGGTTTCAGCCCTCAAAGAGCACATCCCCCAGGTCAGGAAGGCCGACCGCTTCTTTCTGTTCCCCTCTTTAAGGAGCTGAACATGACCCAGTACAAGACACTGCCGGACTCCCATTCCGCAGAGAGCTTCTATGAGAACTACGAGACCAAGGAGATCCTGGGCAGGTAAGGCCCGGACCTTCCCCATGAAATTCTGTCCTGGGCTCCGGCCGGCACTGCGGGCGGGATCAGTCTCTGCTTGACCCTGAGCACTGACCCCATTTCCATCCTGAAAGCACTGTCCACTTGGAGAAACTCTCAGTTCGGGGTCCTGCCCTCCTGCACCAGGATGGAGGAAGCGGGTATAAGAGCACCCAGATTAGAGACCTCTCCCAGCCAAGAGCTCCCCCAGCTTGGGGCCAGGGTCAGGAATCAGGTGTCAGAGAGAAGCTTATGGCCCTGAGAGGGTACAGCTTCTTCCTCCGTGCCGAGAAAGAGCACTGAACTAGGAGCTAGGAGGGCCCACAGCAGGCTTCTTCCTCTTGGGCTCCAGGCAAATCGCCCTCTCTGTGCCTTCTTCATCCTACCATCCCCCAAAGCTCACAGGGAGTTGGGGGACAAGGCAGGACATATCTGCTGCAGCCTGGATCTGGGCCTCCCCCTGGGGTGAGGGGCCCCGGGGATGATCTGTCCTCTGCACCCCCAGGGGAGCGAGCAGCGTTGTCAGGCGCTGCATCCACAAGCCCACACGCCAGGAGTACGCTGTGAAGATCATCGACGTCACGGGTGGGGGCAGCTTCAGCTCTGAGGAGGTGCAGGAGCTGCGACAGGCCACGCAGAAGGAGGTGGACATCCTGCGCAAGGTCTCAGGACACCCCAACATCAGTGAGTGAGGGCCCCGAGCCGCGGCGTGGTGCCCTGCCATGGGTGTGCTCTGATAACCCAAGCCGGGGAGTGTGGCCCCAGTGCAGCGAGCCAGAAGCACCAGAGTGTCTCCTGCACCCCGAGGCCCTGAAAGCCTAGTGCCCAGAGGCTTGAGGCTCCCGGCTCCACCCTCACTGCTCTCGGGAGTCAGCTCTAAGCCCCCTCTTCCAGCCCCACAGAAGGGGTGACAGGCAGGGCTGGGTGCAGGTGCGGGAATGGGAGTGTGAAGTCCCTGGGTGCCCCCTCCCCTGGTGTGCCTCCTTTGAACACCATCGCGATACCCCTTCCAGCTTGAGTCCGGCCACAGCGGCCTTAGTCCCCTTGCCCCCGCCCTCCACTGCCCCCGCCTGGGTTCCTCTGTTGCCTGAGACAAGCGAGCCATTTCCATTTCAGTACAGCTGAAGGACACTTATGAGACCAACACTTTCTTCTTCTTGGTGTTTGATCTGTAAGTACCCAGGCCTGGGGCCTATTGGAGAGGCTTCTATTGTAGTCCCCCACCCAGGGCTTCCTGGAGACGAGCAGCCAGCCCCTTACACCGTGGATGCCAAATAAGGTCACAGACGCTTTAGGCAGACCAGCCCCTGGAGTCAGGCTGCCAGGTTTTAAATCCTGGGTCCATCACTTATGGGCTGGATGATTTCTGTCAGTATCAGCTTACCCATCGGTATTGCAGGAGTAATAATGGCACAGTGACTGGCACAATGTAAATGCTAATAATTATGAACTACCATGATGATGACCATGGTGGTCATTCAACTTATTCTAGACGTTGAGGATATGCAATCCTACTTCATGCACTAATTTTCACAGGGCGTGAACAGAAAGCAATCAAGTCATAAAACACACACAGAGTTATACATATACACATATACGTAAAGCTGAGCGGGGGTCAGAGGGAGTGGGCAGGGAATGCTCTCCAGGAGGTGACCTGAGCAGAGACCTGGATGAAGGAGACCTCTAGCAGAGGGAACAGCCAGAGCAGGGGCCCTGCTGGGTGGGCTTGGCATGTTTGAGGCTCGGCAAGCAAGTCAGGATGGGGGAGTGGAGCAAGCCTGTGGCGATGGCAGGAGGCAAGGTCGGTCAGTACCAAAAAGCAGATTATGCAGGCATTTTGGAGGTAAGAATTTTGGAGGGCCGAGAGCAGGAGGGTGATGTGATCTGACTTACTTTTATAAAGGGTCCCACTGACTGTAAGGGGCAAGGGTGGAAAGGAGGAAGCCAGCGATATGGGGGCAAGAGGCCCACCAGGGAGACAGGTGGTAGAGATTGTATTTGGGATGTGGTTCAAAGATTGACATCATCGTCGTTGTCGTCAGCAGGAGCATCAGCGGCAACGTGTCACTATTCCCCTGCTTGTGCACCAACAGGGCTATTGAGATGAGCTCCTTGTCACAGGGCCCTCTGCCCCCAGGGACCAGTGGGCCTTTTAGCTGGGAGAGCTTCTGTTTTCTCAGGAAAGGAAAAACGATACTGTCCATCTCCCCAGGCTCCAAGCATCAAATTCGAACAACACAAAGTGCTCTGTGAACCGTGCACTCAGACTTCTTACCATTGTTACTGGAAAAGGTTCCCAAGGAAGGGAACTCTCCAGCTCCCATGCCCCCGCTCCGTTGGAGTCCTCACTAAAGAACACACACCTCTGTTGCACGAATCATTGTTGGAGAGCTGTCTTGACTTCTCCATACATAACTGCTAATTTAGGGACTAGCTTTGAGAAAATTATTCAAGCAGATTTTGTATTGCTGGAACGCTTCATCTTGTAGCCATACCGAACACGTGCAGTGTTAAGTTTTTCTTGGAGACACAATTTAACTTGGCCTGTGTGTACAGTTCCACCACCAGCTCCAGGAAGGCAGGAGCCTGCTGGTGGGCCTTGCCGGGGTCCCAGTGTTGACTGATAAATCTTTTTGCTGCTGCTGCTATTAGTGAGTTCTCCTAGCGTGTTTAAAATGGAATTAAAGTGATCAAAACTGGAGGCACACACTGCCTTTTGGGGACACAGTACCAATCGTGTATGAAACAAGGCTCACTTCTGTAATTTCTGGGTTGCTCCTCAAACAGAACTCAACTCCCCGCCCCACCAGTTAAGTTCAAGGATTTTCTTGCCTCCCTCAGATACTGGCCAGAATTCTTCCCTTGGGCCCTGCTTTTCCTGGAGGGGCAGGCAGGATGCACCTTTCCTATTTAACCAAAGGAGACTTTCCTAGGACCCCTCCAGACTCGCCCAGCTCTAGCTGTCTCAACTCCGTTCGGTGGCACTGTCCCGTAGAGCCCTTGGGGGCAGCTCAAATGTCTCTAACCTTTGAAGAAGTTGCTTGGGGAAGCTATTTTTAATGCTGCCCCAAATTGCCCTTCAGGGTATAACTAGATGATTCTAGCAGAAACCTCTTTCTAGATCATCCCAAGTGAGAAAATGGAACCGCAATTCTTAATCCTAAGAAATCCTAAAATGGGTAAAACTGCTCTTCCATCACTACTGTTGCTTCTCTTTGTTCCTGGGAAAAATCAGGATACTCCTGTCCTTCTGATCTGGGTCTGGGGCCTTGTGCCAGTGGCTCAAGTTCCCTCTCTCCCCTCCCAACCCTGATTTTGACCCTGATGGATCCCAGTCCATGCTGTCACTCCCACACATGGGGGGACCTTCGCACTGGTGCCATCTGCCAGCCCCCAGTCTCCCTTGTTCTTCTTTCAACCTTCCGAGACAGCCTCTCCACTCACTTCCCTAGCTCCTCCCCACAGACCTTGGTCCTTTGTGGGGAGCAGCCCACTTTGCCCCTGGAGGTGTTAGGGTGGGAAACAGTTTTCTGGGAGCAGGGTAAGGAGGGGGTAGCCTTGGGGCACATCCAGCTACAAACCCTCTGTCCCCACAGGATGAAGAGAGGGGAGCTCTTTGATTACCTCACTGAGAAGGTCACCCTGAGTGAGAAGGAAACCAGGTGAGGGTCCACTTGCCCCTCTCCCTACTTCCGGCCTGAGTCCCTTGCTTAGGCACCGAGGTCTTGGAGGAGGCGTGGCATGCACCCGTCTGGGTCGGCAGTGTGCTCCGCTGGCTTTGGTGGCCTCCTTTCCTCCTTGACTCAGCCAAGGTAGGCCTGGCCTGTCTTGAGTCCTCCCTCACTCGCAGCCCAGCTGGCTTATGGGCTTTGGTGTCCCTGCCTGTTACCTGACCCTGCAGAGTAGCAGATGAAAGTGACCTGTTCCTGTCCCACCCCAGAAAGATCATGAGAGCCCTGCTGGAGGTGATCTTCACCTTGCACAAACTCAACATCGTGCACCGGGATCTGAAACCTGAGAACATCCTCTTGGATGATGACATGAATATCAAGCTCACAGACTTTGGCTTTTCCTGCCAGCTGAAGCCAGGAGAGAAGCTGCGAGGTCCGGTAACATGGCCTTGGCCCATGTCAGGGGCTCAGGCTCTCTCCTCAGCTCCCCTAGGAACAGAGATTGCCTGGGTTTCCCCCACAAAGTAAAAATCCTACCATTTCAGGGCTGGGTGTTTCTTCCCCGGACTGGGCTGAGCCAGGTTCCCACTGCCTGCATTCCAGGCCAGGATAGCTAGAAGTGACCAGGCCACTGACGGTGCCCCATCGGGTGGCCACAGGACCCAGCACCCTGGCCCTGCCCTTGGCCCTGGGCCAGGCCCATGTTCAGAGAGTCCCAGCCCAGCCACCACTTCGGTTCCTTCTCCGTTGTCTCTTTGGGCTTTCCTCTTCCAAGTGCCTCTGCTGACCTCTTTTTATGGAAACTGTCCCTGCAGAGGTCTGTGGGACCCCCAGTTACCTGGCCCCTGAGATCATTGAGTGCTCCATGGATGATGACCACCCTGGCTATGGGAAGGAGGTGGACATGTGAGTGTGTCGGGGGGAGGGAGGTGACCTGTAGGGACAGGGATGCCCCCGTGGCCGGGAGCCCCTGGCTGGGGAGGAGGGCACGGTGGGAGCTACAGCTGGCCCGCCTGCCTTCCTCCCCGCTGCCCGCTGCCCGCTGCCAGGTGGAGCGCGGGGGTCATCATGTACACGCTGCTGGCCGGCTCCCCGCCCTTCTGGCACCGCAAGCAGTTGCTGATGTTGAGGATGGTCATGAGCGGCAACTACCAGTTTGGCTCACCAGAATGGGATGATTACTCGGACACTGTGAAGGACTTGGTGAGAGGAAAGGCCTCCTGGCTCGGGGGTCAGGCGAGGGGCACGTACAGTGGGGAGAGGGGAGTGTACCGTGCATGCCACGGGTTGGAGGCCCTGCCAGGAGGGACCCCCCCCCCATAGACGTCTTCCGTTCTGTCTCGTTCTCTCAGGTCTCCCGCTTCTTGGTGGTGAGCCCCAAAGGCCGCTGTTCGGCAGAAGAGGCCTTAGCGCATCCCTTCTTCCAGCAGTACACGGTGGAGGAAGTGCGTCACTTCAGCCCCCGGGGGAAGTTCAAGGTACTTAAACTCGCCTGCCACTCAGGGCCCCGGGGTAGGTGCCACAGGCCCCTGAAGTCCAAGCTCCAGGTGCCCTTCTTGGGGACTCCTTACGCCCACGGGGTTTCCAGAGCGCCCGCCCTTCTCCTCCCGCCCAGCCCTGTGATGGTTGCAGCTCAACTTCTGGCTTCTGGCTCCGACAGCCTTAAGCCCTGCGCCTGCTGGTCGGGTGGGAATGGGGGTAACGGGGAATGGGGGTAACAGGCAGGAACGCTAGGACAGGCCCAGCGGAAACCACACAAGCCTTCGTGGCAAACAAGCTCAGGGCCTGCCGTCACGGACCGGCAAGGAAACAGGCCGTGGGGCGGGTCCAGCTCTCAGGCCAGGCCCTCCGCAGGTGATCGCCCTGACGGTGCTGGCTTCCGTGCGGATCTACTACCAGTACCGCCGGGTGAAGCCCGTGACCCGGGAGATCGTGATCCGAGACCCCTATGCCCTCCGGCCCCTGCGGCGACTCATCGACGCCTACGCTTTCCGGATCTATGGCCACTGGGTGAAGAAGGGGCAGCAGCAGAACCGGGCGGCGCTCTTCGAGAACACTCCCAAGGCTGTGCTCCTCTCCCTGGCTGAGGAGGTCTACTGACGGGCAGGCCGGCAGGCCAGGTGGGACGGGGGTCAGGCCGGGAGGAGAAGCCACCGATATGGAGGGCACAGGAGTGACAGCGGGTGCAGGCCTCTGTCCAGAGGGGGCACTTGGCCCCAGCCACTCTCCCCTCTTGGAGGCGTCACGCGGTGGTCAGTGCAGTTGGAGCCAGGCCCACGGAATGGGGGACCAGCTGTGGTCCAGAACCAGAAGCACCCTGCCTCTCCACGGCCCAGCTATACCACCATGTCCGCTTGTCCTCACGGGAGTCCCACAGTTACTGACACTCGGTGCACCGCCTTTAGGGTCCCAGGGTGAGGATGAAAGAGAACAGTCTGAGAATCGCAATCACAGGAGATTTTACTGACCTCACAAAGTCCAGTGACAGCACGGGAGCAGGTTCTTCTCTGGGGCCATGTTTTTAGAGGCACAGGGCAGCCCTTACATAATTAATAATAGAAAGGGAAGCTTCTGCTGTTTGTGGAGTATTATTCACTCTGTACCTCCCATGATACACAGTTGCGCCTGGCAAATCCGTCGTTCTCCTAGACCCTTTAAGACTGACAGTGTGCTTTAAAGAGCTCACAGAACTGCATTTCACATACGGTGGAAACTAGGTTCCCTCGGAGGTGCATGAAACCCCACAAATAAGGCAAATGAAGGAATCATTTTCCTTCTACAGCAACTTGCTGGGAAAACAAGGAGACCTGGGGAAATTCTGCCTTGAGCAAACAATGTCAGGTCCCCGGGTCAGACAGCGAGAAAGTTGGAGGGAGCAGATTTAAAATATTTTCACAAACTGCCTTTCAGAGCACTGCGCCCCAACTGTTTTGAGTATGTGGCCCCCATACGGTCAGTATTTGACCTCTAAGAGAAACATCCGGCTCCTGGGCACAATCAGTAAGTTGGGCCCCTTCTCCAAGAGACAGCGGTGCCGCTCCGCAGAGGTCAGGGTCCTTTCCAGCCCCGGGGGAGAGGTGTCTGCCACAGGGGAGGGGGGAGGGGATGGACGCAGTCCCGAGTTTGGCTGTGTTTGGCATGTGGCCAGGGAGTGCCACGGGTGCCACGGGGGACTCTCCTCATCTCTGTGTGGCTGCTCACAGCTCCCCAGGTGGTCGGCCTGCACTGGAAGCACAGCGGAAGCCTAGGTTGTCTGAGGCTGAATCTGGAGTATTGCCCATTCTGCCACCAGAGAAGGGGAGAGAGAATGGACATTTGTTGAGAAAGGGACCCAGGGCCTTACCCAACTCTCCTGCTCCAGCTCCCAGGGCCTGCTGTGGTCTGGGGCGCCTGGGGACTGGTGGGGGGGGGGCATACACAGTCTGGTGTGTGAGGGTAGGGCCTGAGGGTGTGCAATTCCTGGGGGAAAGGGGTAAGAAGGGACCTTGGGTGGAGGAAGTGAGGGTGGTCCTGAGAGACTGAACTGGAAGGAAGGAAAGGCCACAAGTAATAACTTCGACTGTCGGTAGTTTAGAATAACTCAGCCAAAAAAAACCTGTCGGCAAGAAGTGAGACTATCATAGCACCAATCGGTACCTCCCACTTTCCAGAGAAGTTTCACACGTATTCCTTCATTTGCCATTTCCCTTACTGCTCTGGAAGGTGTGTTTTGTTCACCATCTCACAGACCCAGAGTCAGACACTAGAAAGATTTAAATGTCTTGCCCAAGGCCAACCACTGCTTTAGTGGCACAACAGAATCAGTGGCAAACCCAGTTTCCTGGTCCCCAGGCCAATACTTTCTCCACTACTTTGTCCTAAAGAAAAAGGTGAGGAAAATCCAGGGGCTCAATGTATCAAAGAAACGCCTGCAAACCTGACACCCTGAGGCCACAGGAACGGTAGCTTCTCGACAGTCCTTCCGGAACCCAGGAGCAGGAGGAGTTGCAGGGAGATTAACCAAAATAAATCCACAGATGAACAAGGTGGAAGGTCCTAGAAGGGGACTTGGGAGCCGGGGACTCCACCATTCAGGTGCCACCACTAGCCATCTGTGTGAAATGAGCAGGCTCCAGGACCTCCCTGAGCCTAGTTTTTCTTGATTGTAAGACAAAACGGTTGTAGAAAATGACTTTTCATGTGCACACTCGTTGGAAGAGTCAATATTTCCATGACCCCTGGCCATGACCTATCGATGTGGCCATTCCACTTCCCTCTCTCTGCAAGCCTAGCTCGGAGGACAAGAGGGGAAACCACATAATTAAGATGCTGGACACAGAGTCTGCCTTGGGGCTGACAGCTGGCAGGAAAAGGCACCAGCAGTCCCAGGCTCTTGGCTTTCTATGGCAAGTGTGGCTTGCTTCCTCTTCTGTACCCACAGCCCCCAGTGGAGGGGGAGGCACGGCAGCGGCGGCCACGCCAGATCTGGTGCCACCTGTGCTCTGGCAGACCAGGACCCAGACCCTCAGCCCCCAGCTACCGAGCCCCTCACCTGGTGGTGACCCGGGCCCGGTGATTGGCAGAGCCGTCTGCCGTGTCGATCCAGGATGCCCCCCGGAGGACACGCATGTCCTGGTCGGCAGGCTGGTATGGTGACGCTGTCCACTCCCACACGTTGCCCACGAGGTCAAAGAGCCCTGAAGCACAGTGGTGGGTCTGGCCCAGGCTGGGGAGCGCCACCCGATGGCCCTGGGGAGCTAACGCTTCCCCGTGCTGCTTCTCTCCACCTCACTTTTCAGGCAGGACCATCCCACCAGCCGAGCTGTGAACGCTGACATGACAGCAACCCGACAAGCAGTCTTACCGTAGTTGTTCTGTGGGGGGAAAGCGTTCACCGGGGAGACTCCGTGGAAGCCATCCTCAGCCTTGTCGCCCTTGGGGAACTTCCCCTGAGGGAGGGAGAAATCTAGGCTCAATGATTTACCATCCCATCCCAAGGCAGCTGCTCCCACCTGCCCAGAGGAGTTTAAACCAAGGCCATCTTGCGGTATCCTCTGCGGTAGGGGAAGGGCACGGGGCAGTGACCCGAGGTTCCCACCCTGAGCTTCCTAACCAGCTGCCTCGTGTCCTCTACTATGACCTCCTGGCTGGATTAGGAAATGTGTCGTTTCCCCTGTGTCCACACCAGCCTGCCCCACTCCCACTTTCTCGACTTCCTCCCCATGTGCCTTGAGAAGAAAGGCTCTGCCTCCCCTCCTCCTTGACCGGCACCCGTCTCCTCAGGAACGAGACGCTCATCCTGTACTTCCCTGTACCATCGCTTTCCCTTCTGTCACCTCATCTGCTCTGACCCTGCCTTCCTCACCTCCTGCTGTTTACTGCCAACATTCTGGAAAAATAACCTGTATTTGCTGACGCATTTTGTTCAACTTATTCATTCTGCTTCTCATTGAAATTGGAGTTCAGCTGCCCCTGCTCTATGGGGGCTGATCTTATGAAAGGGAAGATGAAGGGGCTACAATTTACTCATCGCCAACTATGTGCTAGGGCTGCTACATCTATGTCTTTAATCCTGACCAGGTTGTGAGGCAAGTATTTTCTCCCTTTAAAAAGCTAGCAACTGGGACTTCCCTGGTGGTGTAGTGGTTAAGAATCCACCTGCCGATGCAGGGGACACGGGTTCGAGACCTGGTCCGGGAAGATCTCACATGCCACGGGGCAGCTAAGCCTGTGTGTCACAACTACTGAGTCTGCACTCTAGAGCCCACAAACCACAACTACTGAGCCCATGTGCCACAACTACTGAAGCCTGCACTCCTAGAGCCCATGCACCACAACGAGAAGCCACCGCAATGAGAAGCCCGCGCACCGCAACGATGACCCAACACAGCCAAAAAAAAAAAAAGCTAGCAACTGAGACTCAAAACAGTTAATTTAACAAAGATCCCATGGTGAATAAGTCAGATAAGACTTTTTGCAAAGCTCTGATCCCAAGATCATCTAAAAGGTCAGTCTACCCCTGAGGCCCTTTTCAAGGCTTCACCCTAAAATGCTGGTGCTGGGCTCCCCTCATGCTTCAGAGTCCCCTTGGGGGATGTCATTCCTGCCTACAGTGTACGCTGTTGACTCCAAACCAGTTGCTCTGACCCAGACTTCTGTCCTAAGCTCCAAACTCATACTTTCAACCTCTTACTGAGCATATCCATGACCCAAAGGCAGCTTAAGCTAGGCTGATCCTAAACTGATGAAGTTCTATCCCTCTGACCCCCAACATGCATATTATCTATTCTGGATAATGGTCACACCAGCACCCTCTTGCCCAAGCTTGGATTCATGCTTGAGTCCTTCTCTCTTCCACTCCTCCACGTTTGGCGAAGTACCAAACCCTGTCTCTCCTCTCAGGCAGGCGTCTCCCACCTGGCTTCCTCTCGATTTCACTTCCACTTCATGCAAGTGTTCACATCCCTGGGCCATGGCCGCAGCCTCGGATTCAGAGACCTCCTGCAGCTCTACTTCATTTGATCCCACACAAATTTTCAACAATCAGCATCCCCCAAATCAAAATGATGTTGTCGCTCCCGTTTCAAGACCTCTGTCGGCTCCCCACTGCCTGGAGGGTAAAATCTAAAACCACATCTTGGCACCCCTGGTCCTTCATAATCTGCCTCCAATCCACTGCCTACTTCATCTCCTATACCTCCTGTTTCCCTGTGCGCTAGCCTCTCCGAGTCTGGCATGTCTCTGAACACACAGCACCCTTTCCTTATCCACTGCTGACATGCATGTTGTTTCCTCCACTTTTCTCATGGCAAACTCCGGTTCAATCAGCTCAAATGGCATGTTCACGGTGAAGTCACGCCCTGCTCTTGCAGCACAAGAGAGCACACTCCCAGCGCACCCCCAGCACACGCCGCACATCTTCACTCTACAGCCCCACCACGTTGTCTTCTGCTTTACCCCTTTACCAGCTTTCAGTTCCATTACAACACGAAGGCCTCTGAGTCCCACAGCCTAACACAGTGTCTAGCCCACAGCAGGTCTCAATCAACACTCTGAGAAGGGACAGGAGTGAGGAACGTGTGTCTTACCTGCCACAGGTTGGTGCGGTTTGGCTGGAACTCGTTTCCCCAGGGGTAAACCTGACCTGCCAGGAGGGCAAGGAGACAGCGGAGGAGGGAGAGGTGAGGAGTTGGGGAAGAAGGGAAAGGTCGAGAGAGCGAGGCAGCCGAAAGGAGGTGAGGAAGTCATGAGGACAGAAGAAATAGACGACTGACTTTTACTTCCCACGCCCCTCCCTTCCACTCACAGCATTGCACTCGGAGGCCCTGGCTTCTGATTTGCTCCAGGACGGGACAATTCTAGGTGTGGTTCTGACCAATGCCATTCTGCAAACTATCTGTTACCAGCTCATGCTGGGATAAGTACAGAAATTGAGAGTAAGCACTGAGAAACTTGTTCTTTAGACTTAGACTGGATAAGTGAACAAGCAACCTCATTTATCACATTGATAACTTTGACTATGGGTATAGCCAGTGTTCATTCAAAGACTGTGTAGAGGTGTTGAATATGGGAAATTGCTATTTCGCTCTAACTTTCTGTTTAGCTAGGATTGCAAACTAACAAAGTTATAAGCAAATAGCAGTGTTATATTAATCCCTATACAGCTATGGAAAAGGTATACAGTATAGGTAATCCTTTTCTTTTTCCCTATGCTATGTTGTTCTGATTATACTTATTGAAATGGAACTTGTCTGTAGACTCTCCAATAATTAAAAAAATATATGTCTGTTTTGTTCATTCCATTTTCCAGTTACTAATTTTTACGCTATTTTATGGAAGTATTGGTCTGAGATGGATTAGAAATAACACCAACAACTGGTCTATCACTACACAGTGTAAGAAGCACTGCTCGGGGCTTCCCTGGTGGCGCAGTGGTTAAGAATCCGCCTGCCAATGCAGGGGACACGGGTTCGAGCCCTGGTCCGGGAAGATCCCACATGCCGCGGAGCAACTAAGCCCGTGCGCCACAAAGACTGAGCCTTTACTCTAGAGCCTGTGAGCCAGAACTACTGAGCCCGTGTGCTGCAACTACTGAAGCCCACACGCCTGGAGCCCATGCTCCGCAACAAGAGAAGCCACCGAAATGAGAAACCCACGCACCGCAACGAAGAGTAGCCCCCACTCACTGCAACTAGAGAAAACCTGTGCACAGCAACAAAGACCCAATGCAGCCAAAAATAAATTAAATTAAATTAAATAAAGAAGCACTGCTCTAGGGAGCACAAACCTATCCCACCCTTTAAAGCCCCCCATGCAAGGTAGGATGGGGAGAAAGAATAAAGGGAAATCGCTTGGCATCTCTATACCCTTCAAGCCCCCTCGGGCAGCAAACTCCCACTCTTCTTCAATGGGCAGCCGTTTTCCCCGCCAAGCACAGTAGGCACGGGCATCATTCCAGCTCACGTGTACCACTGGGAGCTCCAGTTTCTCTCGGATGCCAGAGCCGGGACCTGCAGGCTGATAGCCAGGATGAAGTGAGACAAGCTTCTGGGAGCTCGTGGAAGTCTGAGGAAGGCTAGGCTTAGGGTGCCTGAGTTCAGCTTTTACCACAGATGGAGCAAGGAAGTGGGAAGAGAGAGCCTGGTGAGCGAGGAGAGGTCCAGAGTCAGAAAGGACTAAACATGAGACGAAAGGGAGAAATGGGATGGGCCAGGGGTAAAAGGATTCGGGCAGAGAAAACAGGGTGGCTTGGATGCTTCCCTAAAATTTCTCTGTCATCCTTTTAAACTCAGTATTTCTAGATGGGCAAGGGTCTAGGGAAGCCAGGCCTCCCAAGAGTCAACAGGGGGAGAAAACGAAGTAGAGGAACCAACCCTTACCTGCCTCCAGAATGCCCTTTCCACTGGAAGCCACCAGAGGAGAGACTGCAAAAAGGAAGGAACATGACTAAAATGATGCTCTGACCCAGCGAGGGCACCTTCCTGACTGACATCCAGGAGGCAAAGCAGAGACTTCAGGCTGAGACTCAGGTGGTCCAAGTGAGGCTGTGTCCAAAATCTCACCACCCGTATTGGAGGGAGGCTTCTCAAGAGGTTCTCTTGCTGGTCCAGGGAGTATACTGAACGCTGTGTGTGTCTGCATCTTTACAGAGTCTCTCTATACAGAAACCAGCACGGGGTGAACTTCCTGGGAGTGTGTGTTCATCTGACTCTTCCAGGGTGGGTCTCTCTTGCTTCCTCCCTGCCTCTGGTTCTCAGGTTTGATTCTCTACTGTGGCCCAGGGGACCCCAGATCCCACAGGATTCTCTGTCTAGGTCCCACTCCCATCCCCTCAGCTGCAAACCTAGGTTCTCTTACCTGCATTTTCTGGGTTGCTTTGTTTCTAAGCTCATCAGAGACAAGGTCCTCGAAGACAAAGCTCCACCCAAACACCTCAGCCTCTGTCTGGTACTTTTTCTCCCTGACAAACTCCCTGAAAAGAGATGTTTCATATGGTTTACCTAATAGGGTTCTGTGCTCCACCCTCACCCTCTCCTGTTCCAGAAAACCTCATACACCCTTATCCTATTAGTCACACATCACAGAATTTTCATGAACTACAAGGAATTCACCTGAGAGCCTGAGCAGATTTTCTTTTAAAATCTGTTGCTGTGTGTGCAGTTCACAAACAGGAGAATTCACTCTTTTTGGTGTATAGTTTTGTGAGTTGTGACAAAGCACGTAGTCACTATCACAATCAAGATACAGAGCAGTTCCATCAACCACCCCCCAAAATTCCCCTATGCCTCTGCAACCACTGGTCTGTTGTTTCTCTCTATAGTTTTGCCTTTCCCAGAATATACATTCACATAAATTGAATGATACAGTAGTATGTAGTGTGGGGGGTCTGGCTTCTTTCACTTAGCATACTGCTTCCAAGATTCATCCCTGTTCCTTTTTTTTTTTTTTGGCAGTTTGTTGCCTTTCATTGCTGAGTAGTATTTCATTGGATGTATAGGCCATATTTTGTTTATCCATTCACCAGTTGCAGATCATCTGGGTTACCTCCAGTTTTTGGAGATAATAAAGCTGCTGAGAAGATTCTAGGGTAGGAATGGGTCTCTCTTCGGAAAGGTCTTCGTCACATACCTAATGTCACAACAATCACAGGAGGGAGGCAGAACAGGGGTTATTATCTCCCTCTAACAGATGAGGGAGATTGAGTCAAACAAAAATGACTTGCCAAGAGTTTAGAATGGATTTTCATATAGTTTGGTATGGCTGAGCAAATTTCAGCAAGCAGATTTCCAGGGTAAGATGGATTGTTTTCACTGGGCTAAGTGTACTTCATCTGTGCCAGACCCCTTATATGAGAAGACATCGTTCACCCATCAGAGGGACATTGAGAATGGAGGAGGAGATGAGATTTGGTAGCAACAGCTATTTACCAACCTCTGACCACCTGAACGGTTTGAGACTCTTTTACCAGAGAGGCGAAGACAGATTATGGGTTCTAAGCAAAGTTTAGGGGCTTCCTGGAGGTGACATTATATTTTCATAATATAAAAGGTCAATTTAAAATATAAAAGAATGCATCTAGGGCTTCCCTGGTGGCACAGTGGTTAAGAATCTGCCTGCCAATGCAGGGGACACAGGGTTCGAACCCTGGTCTGGGAATTTCCCACATGCCGCAGAGCAACTAAGCCCGTGTGCCACAACTACTGAGCCTGCACGCTAGAGCCCGCAAGCCACAACTACTGAAAACCACGTGCCTAGAGCCTGTGCTCCGCAACAAGAAAAGCCAGCGCAATGAGAAGCCTACGCAATGAAGAGTAGCTCCCGCTGACCACAACTAGAGAAAGTCTACACGCAGCAACAAAGACCCAACACAGTCAAAAATAAATAAATAAAATTAAATTAAAAAAAAAAAGAATGCATCTACCTAGCTAGCTATTTCTGGTTGTCATGATGCGGTGCAAGCCTGATCAGAAGTGATTTCTCCTTTGATTTTAATAACTTTCCTGTTTAAAAATATTGTTTTAAAGCATATATAACATCATATTATAGAAAAACAAGGAAACAGGTAGGTAAAAAGAAAAAAAACTAAAATCATACATTATCACACCCACTAAGATATACCTGTCCATATTCTCTCCCCCTTCACCCCACAGCCAAGGATTTTTAAATAGCTTTCGGAAGGTGCTTCCTGTAATTATTTTCCTTTGGAAGTTACAAAAACATGAGCAGAATCCGTCACCTAATGCCACGTTGAATCTTCCAGGTCTTTCTTAATGCACATACATTCTATACATATAGTTTTTAAAAAATGGGATCATACCCTATTTAGTATTTTGTAACCTACTTTCTTCACTTAACACTTCAGAACTATCTCTTTTTGACAACAGGATTTTTAAGGGCTGCTAAGTAGTCTGTTATATTGATACAATATGTTTAAATGATCCTAAGGTTGTTAACATCTGTTTACAAGATGACATTGTAAATGTATTAGCATTGTATCAATAGCTAAACGTTTTTTAGCTAAATGTTTTTGGACAACTTTTAATTCTTCAAGACAAATCCCTAGAGGTGGAAGCAATGAGTCAAAAGGCCTGAGGAGTATACTGACAATCCTTATGCTTATTTCAGCCTGTGTCTCCTGAATCAAACTTTCCCCAAAACTTTTTATCCTGAAAAGTTTTAGGTCCACAAATGTAACATTTAAGTCATTTCTCACATTTGCTTTATTGTCTTCCCATCCCCTCCTCTTCCTTTCCCTCTCCTCCCTATATACTCCCTCCTCTACCATTTGAAGGTAGTTATAGATATGTCCTGGATCATTTTCTACTTTAACCTACCCAAAACATATCACATTGGGGACACTGATGCAGCTCAACATGGCTTCTTAGATTAAGCTGGAACCAAAATGTTTGATTCTGGAAACAATGCCATTTCCCTAAGTAAATGTAAAGGGAATTTAAGGGACTCTCAGCTACTATGACCCTTCTCCCAATTCCTTCTCCCCTGTTGCAGAGGTTTCTGTTGAGTGTCTGACTTCTGCCCATATTTCTCAGTGCTATGCCCAGTGCGCTGGACAATCCACTGGCTCAAGAGTCTAAGGATCTCAGTTCCAGGCCCAGCTCTGCTACTAACAGAAACTTTGGACTTCAGATATATATATATATATATATATATATATATATTTTTTTTTTTTTTAATTTTGGCTGCGTTGGGTCTTCGTTGCTGCACGCGGGCTTTCTCTAGTTGCGGTGAGCAGGGGCTACTCTTCGTTGTGGTGCACGGGCTTGTCATTGCAGTGGCTTCTCTTTGTTGCGGAGCATGGGCTCTCGGTGTGAGGGCTTAAGTAGTTGTGGCTCGTGGGCTCTAGAGCACAGGCTCAGTAGTTGTGGCGCATGGGCTTAGTTGCTCCGCGGCATGTGGGATCTTCCCAGACCAGGGATCGAAGCCGTGTCCCCTGCATTGGCAGGCAGATTCTTAACCACTGTGCCACTAGGGAAGTCCCTGGACTTCAGATTCTTCATCTTAAAAACATAGATAACACTTATCTCACTGTACCATTGCAAAGATGATATGTGGTAGTGAACAAGCTAATCTCCTTTTAAATATTATGAAGATTAGAATAGCCTTTACTTCTCCTGGAAGAACACTGGATGTACCTGAAGTCTTTGTTGGTGACAGGAAATATGTCGATGGCAAAGGGTTTTACCGTCACCTCCCGGACAGGTCCTTCACCATCTCTGCCATCTGGTGAATTTGTTCCCATCTGGAATCTCCCACCTGGTAGCTGGACCATGTTGGTCATCTGCCCATTCCCTGCAGAGAAAAAAAGAGTCGAATATATATAAAAGAAGTGGCAATATTTGGATCATATGTAAAACTCACAATGCTATAATGAAAAAAACAATGGAAGCTTAAAAAATTTGGCTTTAGGACTTCCCTGGTGGCAAAGTGGTTAAGAATCTGCCTACCATTGCAGGGGACATGGGTTCGAGCCCTGGTCTGGGAAGATCCCACATGCCGCAGAGCAACTAAGCCTGTGTGCCACAACTACTGAGCCTGCACTCTAGAGCCCGCAAGCCACAACTACTGAAGCCCGCACGCCTAGAGCCCGTGCTCCCCAACAAGAGAAGCCACCGCAATGAGAAGCCCGCACACCACAATGAAGAGTAGCCCACGCTTGCTGCAACTACAGAAGGACCGCGTGCAGCAACGAAGACCCAACACAGCCAAAATTAAATAAATAAATAAATTTATTAAAAAAAAATTTTGCCTTTAAATTCTTGTTCTGTCACTTAATTTGCTGGGTGACCTTGGGCAAATTACTTAGTCTGGATTTCAATTTCTTCATCTACAAAATGGGGATAATATCTAACTCAAATGCATGGCTGTATTAAAATAATGTGTGAAATGTTTAGCACATGGTAGGTTTTCTTTCTTGTTTTAAAAAATTAATTTTATTTGTTTGCGCCGGGTCTTACTTGCGGCATGCAAACTCTTAGTTGTGGCATACATGTGGGATCTAGTTCCCTTACCAAGGATCGAACCCAGGCCCCCTGAATTGGGAGCACAGTCTTTTTTTTTTTTTTTTAATTTTATTTATTTATTATTTTTGGCTGCGTTGGGTCTTCGTTGCTGTGCACGGGTTTTCTCTAGTTGCAGTCAGCGGGGGTTACTCTTTGTTGTGGTGTGCAGGCTTCTTATTGCGGTGGCTTCTCTTGTTGCAGAGCACGGGCCCTAGGTGCATGGGCTTCAGTAGTTGCAGCACACAGGCTCAGTAGTTGTGGCTCACAGGCTCCAGAGCGCAGGCTCAGTAGTTGTGGCACACGGGCTTAGTTGCTCCGCGGCATGTGGGATCTTCCCAGACCAGGGCTCGAACCTGTGTCTCCTGCATTGGCAGGCAGATTCTTAACCACTAGGCCACCAGGGAAGTCGCCGGGAGCACAGAGTCTTAACCACTGGACCACCAGGTAAGGCCCAGTAGGTTTTCAACAAATGTTTAGTTCCTTTCCTTACCTCTCTATTCTGCACGACAACCTTTTGTCCCAGCGAGATAAATCTAGACACTATACTCTGAAATACATCTATCAACTTTCTACCCATACTACTGCGCATGTTTCTCTGACTCTTCCTTTTCACTCGTTTGAACTCTTATAAATTCGTAATGATTTTCACCATTATATCATATGCTCCAGAAAGAAAAGAACTACATCTGTTGCCAGTGTATCCTGGGCACCTAGCACAAGTGCACAGTAATTATCATCAAATGACTGAATGAACTGCTTTACACTTCCTGTTTGGATACCTCCAAAAATCATAGAATTAAAAGGATCTTTATTTCAACCCCCTCATATGACAGGAGGAAACCAAAACCCAAAAGGGAAATGACTTAAAGAGCTAGTTTACAGGAGAAACCCGGGTCTCCTTACTTCCAGGTCAGTGCTATTTCCAAAAGGTCACACTTCTCTGGCTTGACATACTATTTTGTTATGTTTCTACCTAACAGTGTCTAAGTACTATAATTTCCCTAAAGGCAGAGTCCTCATCTTTTCATGTTCCCCAGTATCCCATCTTTGGCCCTTTTCTCATTCTCATTCTGACACACTCACACATGATTTCGTCCACTTTAAGGGGGGTGAGGGTTGGAATAAAGAAAGCAGGAAATTCTCAGATTAAAAGGGAGTTATAAAACAACACACAGAGACTTCCCTGGTGGTGCAGTGGTTAAGAATCTGCCTGCCAATGCAGCGGGACAGGTTCGATCCCTGATCTAGGAAGATCTCACATGCCGCATAGCAACCAAGCATGTGCGCCACAACTACTAAACCTGTGCTCCACAGTCCTTGAGCCACAGCCACTAAGCCTGCGTGCCACAACTACTGAAGGCCATGAGCCTAGAGCCTGTGCTCCACAACAAGAGAAGCCACCGCAATAAAAAGCCGGGACACCACAACGAAGAGAGTAGACCCCGGCTCGCCGCAACTAAAGCCCACGCGCAGCAATGAAGACCCAACACAGCCAAAACAAAACACACACACACACACACACACACACACACTAGCAATATATTAATTTTATTTAGACACTAATTCAACAAGTAAACTATAATTTTAAAACATTTACAGTAGGTGAACTTGAACACTAACTGGATGTTTAATGGTGTTAAGGAGTACGGTTCATGTTTTAGGTGGGAAAGTGAATGATACTTTTTTCCCGTGACTTCTTGTCTTTTTGGCTATTCAAGTTAAATATTGAGGAATAAAACTGTATCGTGCCTCGATTCACTCCAAAATGAATTTCCCAGGGGAAGGAGAAAGTGGGAAGGGTCCCATGGAAGCAAGATTAAAGCCATAAATTGGCAACCGTTTAAACTAGGCACCGGGTACGTGGTGGACGGGAGAGGATCGTTTTATTCTTTTTTTATGCTCAAAAGATTCCAGAATAAGTTAAAACTATAAAAGAAGCGAGATACACCTCGCCAAGTTGGCCGCCTCTGGGAGGCACCTCCGGCCGCTGCAAGATAGCGCAGGACGCTGGCAGACCGGCCACCGTCTCTTTCCCCGCAGGGGCCGAGCGCCCCACCCTTTTTCTCCTGCCTCCATGGACGAAAGGCGCCAGGGGCAGTTGGGCAGGCCAGCACACTGACCTAGTTCGAGCCACGGGCCGGAGAGGAGGGACAGCAGAGTCAGCAGCGGCGACAGCGTGGCGCCCATGCCGAGAACACGACCCCCGGAGCCCCACGAGGAGACGCGCCACCGTGCGGGTCCGCTGCGCACGCGCGCCGCGCGCATCACGTCGGCGGCCGTGCCCTGCGCACGCGTGCGCACTGCTCCTCTACGCGGCCCCACCTAGAAATTAGTCCTGGGGCCGAAGCTCCAGTGTTGCCGGGCCAGGTAATTAAGAGAAGTCAATTTTCTCGGCGTTGGGGTCGAGAGACCCTGCCATTCCAGAAGCCCCTTCTTCAGCTTGTGAACATTTGGACGGACTGATTTCCTTCCCTTTTGTGCCCTGGAGTACCACCGCAAGATCACAGAAAAGGCTTCAACTTCCAATTTATTGTACGCTCACTGTAGGCAACTGCGAAGTCCTAACGCAATGCTTAGCAACACAACTTCCCTTTCAAGGTCTTCAAATATACCTACTGTATTTTGTAGCAACATGTAGAACAGTAATTTGGGTGAGAAAAATAGGACACTAGAGGGTTTGGGAGGGATATCAGCCTAAGCAAGGTTCCGATGTGCAAAAATACCGTCTTGCCTGAAAATCTCTTACCTCACCTGGTCCTCAGTCACTACGCCTTCAGCCATGTATTTAACCTCTGCCTTTCCTATTTTGCCACTTTAGACTTGCAGCTCTTTCAACTCCCTTGACTCTATCTCCATCTTTCTACTCACTACAATGTAACATTTCTGGGTTAGCAAAGCTACTTCAAAAGCATGAAAAGTCCAATTTATCCAATAGTGTCTTTTACTCAAAAGCAGCTGTCCCCAACCTTTTTGGCACCAGGACTGGTTTCGCAGAAGACAGTTTTTCGAGGGGGGCGGGGATGGTTCAGGAAGTCATGCAAGCGATGGGGAGCAGCAAATGAAGCTTTGCTTGCTTGCTCCCTGCTCACCTGCTGTGCGGCCTGGTTCCTAAACAGTACTGGTCCTCTGCTGTGCGGCCGCTGAACAGTACTGGTCCTCTGCCCAGGGGTTGGGGGGACCCCTGCTCAAAAGGATTTATACTAAGGAAGCAGGAATGCTTTCAAAACCTTAAGTTACTTAAGTCTTATTTATAACTAGCATAAAAATTGAAAACTTAAATGCTTAATGACGGGGAACTATTGGAGATAAATTAAAATACATTCATTAGAAGATTAAACCATTGAAATGTTTTTCAAGGAATATTTAATACAGTAGATAATATATGCTTATCTAACATGTATGTTTATATCACTGAAGCTAAAGCAAAACATCCTGTTTATTGGTAAGTATGGCCTGTATGTGTACACTACAGTGCAATTTTAAAAATATTGTAATTATAATTTCAGAACTTCAGAATCTGAACAGATGCCAGTGTTCTCTCCTTTTTTTATATGGGAAAAGAAAATCCTTTGAAAATCATTTGAAGCTTGGACAAAAATTCCATAGCTATATTCTTAGGATCACTCTGTAGAGTCTTCATGATTCAGATGATACAACGGAAGCATCAATTCAACCTTTTAGAGAAGACATTCCAGCTCTCATGATCTCATCAACCAGGAGAATGTTGGTGGCAATCACAGTGCTGAAAAGGGGGGAAAAAATCAGACTACTCAGGTTTGAGGTATGAACTCTAATTCAACTCATAATTCAACTCAATCTCCAACTAAATTGCACAAATTATATCCAGTCAGGTTTCCCCTTTCCTTTCCATACACAGAAGGCTCACTTAGTTGCTGCTTTTGACTGATTACCTTTTCTTATGGAAAGAAAATTAAACATACCAATTTTAAAGAGTATGAATATTCCCCAAATGTTATAATTTTGGCTTTCCCAAACTTACCAGGAATGAAGAAGCTGTTTCTTTACACAATAGTTATCCCATACGCCTACTTCTGCTGCTACCATTGGCTCACCTGAAAAGTAACCCAGTATTCTTAAAATCATATAGAGCAGGCCATATGATCAGAATACTGTCTGAAAGAACTAATAAGAGTATTTTGTGCTGCCTCACTCATCAATGGCCACTCATTTCCTCCAGTATTATCTATGAGAACCCGAAGTTCCTCAAATTAGCCCAATGTTGTACTCCAGACCATGACTCCTGTGCACAGCAGCTTTGATGAGCGACTGACCTCTACTTAGAATGCTTCCAGTGATAGGAATGCTCTATTTGGTTACCAAATTTGTGAACATCTCTGTTTTTCTGGAGACGTTCCTATTTATCCATATTAAAGTATAGCACCTGAACTATAATCTGGCAAAACAGGCTAATCATTACCCTCATTCCAGAAATCTTTTAAATTAATTGGGAGACTGGGACTGACATATACACACTACTATATATATATAAAATAGATAGTAACCTACTGTATAGCACAGGGAACTCTACTCAGTACTCTGTAATGACCTATATGGGAATAGAATCTAAGAGTGGATATATGTAAATGTATAACTGATTCACTCTGCCATACAGCAGAAACTAACACAACATTGTAAATCAACTATACTACAATAAGTTAATTTAAAAAAAAAGAAACCTTTTATATTAACTTGAATGTGAATGATGCTGTTCACAATAGGTCTTACACATACTGCACAGATGTATCTCAGTCATCTCTCTTCCACTTTGTACTTGTATAATTTGGATTACACTGGCCTAAGATCAGGGCTTCACTCATTTTATTAGATTTGGTTCCCTCTTCCTGCATTTTTTGCTATCCTCAGCCTTTTTTCACCCATGAGTATGGTCATGATATGTATCATTTTAATCAAAGTCCCTGATAAAAAACAGTAAAGCAAGCTCAACATGAAACCCTTCAACATTAACCCAAACCACCTACCACAACTCAGCAATATCAACAAATCTGTACTCTTCTAAATTATTCAAATGTCTCCTCAATTCCCTTTATTTCTGTATCTAGTCATTACATTTTTGTATCATACTTTAGAACCCAGAGATCCCGGATAGCACTGGTGTCAAAAAGCAAAAGCAACTCCAAGATTCTTCTCTCTCCCATTTTTTTTTGTCCTTCCTGGTCTTACCTCACCTATAGTATCTAGTTCACCCCCATACAAATAGTCACATCCTCCTTACCTGTGTTCAGGTCTACACCCACAAGTTGACCTGATTCTGAATGCTCTGCTTTAACTTTAACTAGTGTTTCCTGAAGGTCAAAACCAGAGTTCTGAGCAAGAACCTAAAGGAAACAAATTTATTTAAAAGACAGGACCTAATAACAGGTAGTCAAGTCTGTAATAAATGAACAGTATTTCCAATTAATAGTTAAAAAAACAAAACAAAACAAAAAAACCAAACCCTTAGTAAGTGAAAACAGACCGGTATTTATGTTCACTTTAGAGAATGACTAGATATACATTACCAACCAACTCACTAATCCACCCCAAGCCCGGCAATACACTGGTCATAAACTGTACCCTCAAGTAAGCATACAATAGAAAAATCACAGTATTAACCTTAGTTTAAAACAAAAACAAAAAGCAAGTTTGTACCCCCACACTGCAAACCCTCTTAAAACAGCTATCTCTTGCCATCTGAAACATCAGATATTCAAGCCTCCCCTCCAGAGGAACCAATACGTTCAGATAATAAGAAATACCTGTTCTAGTGTTAGGGTGAAAACTGATGAACCCTTTTTATTCAAAATCCACATTATGAAAAAACCCACATTAGCAAAAAGTTTTCATCAGATGAATCATTTTGGTGTAGTTTAGAAAACAGTTAAAGCATTCACACCTTGGGAATAATGAGCAATGCATCGGCAAATGCTTGAACTCCAAGTTGGGCCCTGCCCTTTACACTGGGCTTGTATTTAATCAGGGCTTCTGCCATTGCCACTTCCACTGCACCAGCACCTGGAACTACACAGCCTGTTGGGTGGGAGGAAGAGAGAAATGCTAAGCTACAAAGAAAATAAAACTGTAGAGGCAATTATAAGAAAATATATAAAACACACAGGAAATCCATTAATTTGAGAATTCAGTATAACCACAGCAATTTTAATATCACATTTGAAAGCAATACAGGCAACATTATCAAACAGCAGAATGATTTAACTAGCACATGGAAAATCCTGAAAGCTCTTAGTATTAGTTCATTTATTTGTACCTCCTTTTAACAACAGCATGCCATGAAAAAACTTAGCATACCATCATAGCTATTTTAAAGGTAAAACTTTACTTTTGCATGGTGTCTGGCTGTGTAAACTACTGATAAAAAGAACACAGTATTCAGCCATGCCTTTCAGACTAGCAAAAGAATATAATTTAAATACAGTGACGATCTTACCATCATCAATAGCATTTTTAACAGCCCTCAAGCCATCTCTTATTGCATCTTTGATTTGAGTAAGTGTGTGCTTATTTGGTCCTTTGATCAATAATGTGACCGATCGAGGATTGTTACAGTTCTCAATAAAGGTGAACTTCTCTTCTCCCTGTGTGAAGAGACAGTATTTTCAAAAACCAGGATACGGTTGTGCAAAGAATGACCAGATGAGAGGGCCTTATGAAGGAATAAGTAGCATATTAATAGGGCACAGCACTGATCACATTAAAGCAAATAACTTCTTTTAAAAAGTCACATAAAAGAAATGTGATTTTCCCATCAGTGGCTTATTACTACATATAAATCATCAAAATGTATATTAACAAAGCAAAAATACCATCCGAAGTTTGAATGAATTTTTAACTACTGAAGAATCCATGAGCCAAAAAGTAGTATTATTTTGGAAAGAAAATACACTTACCAATGTATATTCATAGACAAGTCCTGCATGTCCCAAACAATCAGGATTTAGGTCTTCAAGAGAATTTAGGGCTACCCCACCACAAGCAAGAGTCAGCCTGAAATATTCAAGTGTTTTAAGGGAGATGCAGAAGGGATTTTATTAGTCATGTTTAGAGATTAATATTTTTAGAAAGCAATCTTTATCAGAATTACATGCGAAAATCATATTCTAAAATATATTTTAGCTTAAGCCTTTCCATTCACCACCAACTAGCTGAAAACTGGTCTTTTCTCCTAACTCTCCATTTAAGCCACTCTTAAGTCAGCAAATACTCCTCTGATATGAAATCTAAAGGTGCACAGAGCTCTTCATCATGGTGAGCTCTTTGGAAGAAAGTATTCCTCTGAAACCTTTGATGCTGTCTCTTGACATGGAAAAATATGTACGGTATAGGTCATCATTTAAAAATAAAACAAGTATATCAACAATCACAGCAGCACTATTCACAACAGCCAAGGCAGAAACCCAAATAAATGTCCACTGACAGATAAAGGAATAAACGAAACTAAATGTGGTATACCCAAACAATGGAATATTATCCTTAAAAAGAAATGTGATCCTGGAAAACACAGGTAATATGATAAATTTTATATTATGTGTATTTTATTGCAATAAAAAATAAGAAAATCACAAAAATAAGAGGAAAAAAAGGAATAATTTAAGTTAACTTGCAAAGTAAGTGAAATTCACATCACAGATAATCTGCTATCCGTACCTTTCCATATTTCTCCTTTTAGCTCTGCGCAGAGCTACTATGCCTTCTTTTGCAAGAGCATCTAAGGAAAAGGGGTCAATTCCCTATAACAACAACAAAAAATAAGTTTCAATATTTTACCTTTAAAATAAAAAGATACACACTAGTTTATAAAACAAAATTTCTCACCTTTTGATTAATAACAACAAATCCTTTATCTGAATCACCACAGACTTTCTTTTTCAGGTCTATTATTTTTTTAACTCTGTCTTCAATGAATTTTCTTTCAGCTTTCACTAGTTTCTCTCTCTCCTCTGCACTCTTGTAAAAAAAGCCAGAATTCACTTCCCTAAAAAAAGGAAGTTACAGAAAGGGGAGGAAATATTTAGCAAATAGTCACCGAGCTCCAATTCTACCCCTGGTACGTTTTCAGAGACTATTTCCTGTAATTTTCCGAAACCCCATTGAGGCATTATTGTCCGTACAGCCGGGAAACTGATTCTCACAAAAAAGTGACTTACCCCAAATATCAAGCTCTTCCACCTCTCTTCCATTTTTAAGGA